AATAAATTGGAAAAAAAGTAACTTGCGTTACTTATTTGAAAAAGTAACTCAGATATTCTCTTGTAAATTAAAAAGTGATGCGTTACTAGTTACTTGAAAAAAGTCATCTGATTACGTAACTGGCGTTACTTGTAATGCGTTACCCCCAACACTGTGTGATTGTGCAGTGTTTCTAATCATCTGACGACGGTCTCTGCTCTTCTTGTGCTTTCAGATGTGGCTCCGGCCGAGCAGGAGAAGCTCTTCATCCAGAAGCTGCGTCAGTGCTGCGTTCTGTTCGACTTTCTGTCCGATCCGCTCAGCGACCTGAAATGGAAGGAGGTGAAGCGGGCGGCGCTGAGCGAGATGGTGGAGTACATCAACCACAATCGCAATGTCATCACGGAGCCCATTTACCCGGAGGTGGTGCACATGGTGAGTCAGGCCGGCTCTCAGGAGCCGCTCGTTTGATCTCCGAGCTCAAAGATGCTTCTGTTTCCCACACGGAGTCAGCCGCGGTCTTGGGCTTTACTGACACTCACTTCACATGCTTTTCTATTTACAGCACTAAAGAAGCATTATCACGCTGGAGATTCAGCTGAAACACAAGCTCTCGCTTCTCCAAAACCATGATGTACAGATCTAAAAAAGAGACGTTCTGTTTGATAATGTGCTCTTTTGATCAGATCAGCTACACGTGCGACCGAACGATCGGCAGCTTTCACGTCCGTCTCTCACATGATCAAAGCTGCATCAGTGCTGATAGAGTTATTGTTGTGCTAATGTGGCCGTCGATTGTTTGCTGTAGATGTGCATGAGTTCATAATAACGCGCCCGAGGCCAATGATTGATTTAGTCGATTTATACGAATTTTCTGGCTGATTTTCAGCATTTTGTGCTAATCTGTGACTCAGTTTGTGTAAAATGTGACCCTGCAGCACAAAAGCAGTCTTAAGTCGCTGGGGTATATTTGTAGCAATAGCCAACAATACATTGTATGGGTCACAATTATACATTTCTCTTTTATGCCAAAAATCATTAGGATATTAAGATCATGTTCCATGAAGAT